GTGTGTGTGTGTGTGTGTGGTGTGTGTGTGTGTGTGTGTGTGTGTGTGTGTGTGTTTTGCTCTGTTTTGGGCACGTTGGTGGTGGTGGTGGTGTGGTGGTGGTGGTGTTGTGGTGGTGGTGGTGGTGGTGTTGGTGTGATGGTGGTGTTGGTGTTGAGGTGGTGGTGTTGTGGTGGTGTTGTTAGTGGTGACGCGTAATTATAATCAAATAATCTGGTAACAACTTACGTATTAATATGTTGACACCTGCGTCCCCCTTCCCCCCTCCCCCCCCCACACCCCTGGACACTGCAACAGACAAAAACACAAGAGGGGAAACAGCTCCCCCTCCGGCCCTGCCCTCACCACAATCCTCGGCACTGTGGGCGACACAACAAGCAGGACACGAGAGGCACAAAAATAAGCACCACCTCCCCTGATGGTCTGCATGGCCCTCGCTGGTAACAACAATTAGCTGTTCCGCAGAGAGAGAGAGAGAGAGAGAGAGAGAGAGAGAGAGAGAGAGAGAGAGAGAGAGAGAGAGAGAGAGAGAGAGAGAGACAGACAGACAGAGACAGAGTGTGTGAGTGAGTGACTGAGTTCACTGTTTCCTCAGATCTCCTTCACGGATCTCCTGCATTTCCTTATCTCACGAGGGTAAAGACTTTAGTATAGTGTCTCGCATAATACTCATCACTACGGGAAAGTAACTGCCTCCCAAGGTAATACATGATCTAGATGTACTAAATCAGAATTCAGTACCCTAGACCTATTATAAGGTTTGCGGGCGGTGGCTGAGGCTATGATGTCCAACTCACACATCAGAGAATGAAGAAACGTCAACGTCTCACTGTCACTCGACCCCCAATAATAGATTCAGCTTCCTTACTTCTCCCTTAGGCTGTGTCAAATAATTCGGAAGAGTGTGTGTGGTGTGTGTGTGTGTGTGTGTGTGTGTGTGTGTGTGTGTGTGTGTGTGTGTGTGTGTGTGTGTCATTCACCAGCACTCTTGCACAGACAGTGTTAGAACGCTAGACATTGTTTTTAATGTTAGACATTAAAAACATCTAGTTTTTAACTAGACATTAAAGTATTATACTGAGAATCTTTCCCTGGGACGTTAAAAAAGATAATAGCATAAAAACTGATTAAATGAAAAGGATGGAGAGTTCACTGATAGAGGAAGATAACTTGAGGCTCTGTGAAGAGGCTCCAGATAGAGCTCTGAGACGGAGAGCTTCGTATTACAGAGCATCTTCCGTGTGGCAATACGTTAGATGACTTTAAATATCCTAATACTTACCCAATCTAAGAGATGATAAACATTATTGTAGATAGAATGTCCGTGTGGCTCTCGCAGGAAAGTCGAAATAAAGAGAGACGAAAGAACCTGAAATATCTGTCTATCTATCTATCTCTATCTCTTCCCACTTCTCTACCTATCACAGCTTTCTTTTCCTAACTCATTCTCTCAGTTTATTTCCCTAGCTCTAAGGCTCATTGGGAAATTCACTCTCCTTCTCAGAGCTGAGTTTCTCCACTCTCCCACTCAAAGGTCTTCCTTACAAAGGTCAGTTTCTCTATCTTGCCCTCTCACAGTTCTTTGTTTCTGTCCCCGTGTTTCTACCAGGTCTTAGATTCGAGATTTATAACTTTTCTAATGCCTCAGGTTGGAGCCTCAGTGAGACAATCTTAAGACACCTTCCTCTCTCTATCCTTATATTCCTCTCTCCCTCTCTTTGGTTCATTAGTCACTTTCACTATTTGGTCCACGGTTCTGTACCCTGTGTATCGTTATCCCCTGTCCCTTTGTATATCGTTATCCTTGTCCTTCTGTATATCGTTATCCGTGTCCCTCTGTATATCGTTATCTCTGTCCCCCTGTATACCGTCATCCCTGTCCCTCTGTCTCGGCATGCCTCTCCATGGAGGTGCATGCAGGAGGCACGAGGCGGCTACAGCCAGGCCCGAGCAGCGCTACGGGGGTTGTCACATCTCTCACCGTAGGGTCTTACATTTGTTCTTGCTTGTCCTACACATGCACCAGCGTTTCCACAACTGTAGTCCCTCGGGCAGCCCTCGGTACCTGGGGCTAATCAACCACCGGCCGGCAGAGGAGACTTGGCTCTTGGAGTCGGGAGCTCTACGGCTTAGAGTCGCCAGGGATCAGCCGGATCGCTTACGTCCATGAGAATGCAAGTTGCGGTTCTAGGAGCTTTATTGAGCACCTCAGAAATAACATCCAGCGCTTATTTACAACCCGATATGGCAAATTAGCTTGAGGGATAACACGCTATAAGGATCACTGATAGGCGAGGAGGGATAGGCCCCTTCTGCTCCCTCCCGCAGAGTCTGATATTCGAATACCCAACATTTCTTCACTTAATTTTGCTCAATCACTCCAAATCTCATCGAAGAGCGATCTCACTTGGGCCGCCTAATCCCCTCGACCGCCACCGGGGGCCGACGAGCGAAACCTTGTGAAATGGCGGCGAAGGCAGGCGGGAAGGGGAGGTCTGGCGTCCTCTCCGGGCTGTCTGGCCGAGCGCTGACAACTTACACGGAACTCCCATTTTCTGCCCCCCAGGCTCGCACGGTTTTTATCCCTGGAGGCAAAACCGGCAAGGGAATATGTTCCGAGGTTCTGGGGGCCGGTCGGGTGTCGCCACACTCCTGCTGCTGCTGCTGATGCTGCTGATGCTGCTGCTCCTGCAGCTGGTGCTGGTGTTTTTGCCGATGTCAGTGATGGTGATGTTATTACCGGTGGAAGTGGTGGCGATGTTCCTTCTTCTTCTTCTTGCAGTTGGTTGGTGGTAGTGGTGTCGATAATGCTGCTGCGGCTGCTGTGGCTGCTGCTGCGGCTGCTGCGGCTGCTGCGGCTGCTGCGGCTGCTGCTGCATGTCGGACCTGCCACCGTTGTTGATGTACTCAATCTGTACCGTCTGTTGTTGTGCCCAAACTGTTCCTTCTCTTGGTTGGTGGGTGATGATGTCGATGGACATGTTTGCCGTTCTTGTTGCAAGTGCCATTTGCAAATGTTGCCGTTTATCTCTGGATGTTGCTGATACTCTTGCCGTTTCTCCCGCTGTTGCCGGTAATATTCGCACTGTTTCTCCCGCTGTTGCCGGTAATATTCGCACTGTTTCTCCCGCTGTTGCTGCTAATATTCACATTGTTTCTCCTGCTGTTGCCGGTAATATTCGTGCTGTTTCTCCCGCTGTTGCTGCTAATATTCGCTCTGTTTCTCCCGCTGTTGCCGGTAATATTCGCACTGTTTCTCCCGCTGTTGCTGCTAATATTCACATTGTTTCTCCTGCTGTTGCCGGTAATATTCGTGCTGTTTCTCCCGCTGTTGCTGCTAATATTCGCACTGTTTCTCCCGCTGTTGCCGGTAATATTCGTGGTTTCTCCTACTATATAGACCGTTCTCTCGATCTGCCGCTCCGTTAAAAACGTAACTGTTTTGCTTAACCGGTAACGTACGAACCCAAGCATCCCGCCTAACATATAGAGGCCGATGCATAGAAAACGTCAGAATTACGGTGCTTTATTTTTCACCAAGTGGCCGCATTTTTAACGGATTGGTCGATTCACACGTTTCTAGCTGTTGCTTACCAGTACGACTTTGTTCCGTGGGTGCTGTAGGTGTTTCGTGGGTGTTGTAGGTGTTTCGTGGGTGTTGTAGGTGTTACATGGGTGTTGAAAGTGTTCCATAGGTGCTGTAGGTGTTCTGTAGGTGTTGATGATGCGGTATATGGTCTCCATATAATGATTTTTTTGTAAATTACAGATAAATATAACCTCTAAATCTAAATAATACATAATAATTGCAATGATCAAACGTTATTGTTATGACTTGGAGATAAATATATTACTGTAATTGTGAAAGTTTGACTGTAATTGAACACTCGTGTACGAATAACGTTTTAGAATTGTGTTGATGTCTTCCCGTATCCCCTGTGGCAGTAGAGCTGTTAACGGGGCCAATCAAATGGCGTTGTTAGTGTGGTATTGTGAGAAGAAGGGGGGGGGGGAGGCAAGGCTTGTGTGTTCCGTCACCTTGGCTGTTGGGGGCGCTGTTCCTGCCGCTGTTTTGACCAAGGCGTACATAGGATAATGCTCCGCAGAGTTCATGTATACACATATATGACATGTGTAAGCTTTGTAAAGTCCCTCGCCCGCCCCCTAAGCTTAGCTCGGCTCCATTTTCTACTGGTGATGCCATTCCTGTTGTTTGGGCTTACGACCTATTAACCTCGAGGTGGTTAATAGGTCGCTGCAATAGTTTCCTGGCCAACTAGCGTGTATTCTTATAGTCCTGAACTATCCTTAGTACTACAGTAAACTCTGTGTATCCACCCGGAGGAACAGAAGGTAAACCACTTTTGTTAAATGCAATCCCTCCTCAAAGCGTAGCTATTTACCAACTATTACGCTATTTCATTTTATTAAAATATTTAGATACATCCACATTTATGGCGGTACGCTAGGGGCCGACACTATTCCAAGATGCAAACATAATCCACATCTAGCAGGAGGGTTAGTTACCGAGGACCGCGTGGTCGGCACGGGTAAACTGTTAGATGCATCATGAGGAACACGAGAGTAGATAGTGTGTGTGTGAAACTTCCTCCAGGTGTGAGTGGAGAAGCTTGTCAACACACTCTACGGTCACCACAACCCACGTTTCACAACCTCTGTTTGGCTCGCTCTCTCAGGCGCGCGCGCACACACACACACACACACACACACACACACACACAAACACACACACACACACACACACACACACACACACACACACACACACAACACACACAAACACACACAAACACACACACACACAAACACACACAAACACACACAAACACACCACACACACAAACACACACACACACACACACACACACACACACACACACACACACACACACACACACACACACACACAGGGAGACCACCTTGACACCTGCTCATCAATAATGTGTAGAGACGATCACAGGAGCGCGAGGGACCAGTTCCTAATGGAACAGTTGTTGAAGACGCACTCTCCCTACAGGCAGCTGCTCTACAGGGAGCTGCTCCACAGGCAGCTTCTCCACGGGCAGCTGCTCCACGGGCAGCTGCTCCACAGGCAGCTGCTCCACAGGCAGCTGCTCCACAGGCAGCTGCTCCACAGGCAGCTGCTCCACAGGCAGCTGCTCCACAGGCAGCTGCTCCACAGGCAGCTGCTCCACAGGCAGCTGCTCCACAGGCAGCTGCTCCACAGGCAGCTGCTCCACAGGCAGCTGCTCAACAGGCAGCTGCTCTACAGGCAGCTGCTCTACAGGCAGCTGCTCTACAGGCAGCTGCTCCACAGGCAGCTGCTCCACAGGCAGCTGCTCCATAGGCAGCTGCTCTACAGGCAGCTGCTCTACAGGCAGCTGCTCCATAGGCAGCTGCTCCACAGGCAGCTGCTCCATAGGCAACTGCTCTACAGGCAGCTGCTCCACAGGCAGCTGCTCCACAGGCAGCTGCCCCACAGGCAGCTGCTCCATAGACAGCTTCTCCACAGGCAGCTGCTCCACAGGCAGCTGCTCCACAAGCAGCTGCTCCACATGCAGCTGCTCCACAGGCAGCTCCACAGGCAGCTTCTCCACGGGTAGCTGCTCCACAGGCAGCTGCTCCACAGGCAGCTGCTCCACAGGCAGCTGCTCCTCAGGCAGCTGCTCCACAGGCAGCTGTTCTACAGGCAGCTGCTCCACAGGCAGCTGCTCCACAGGCAGCTTCTCCACGGGCAGCTGCTCCACAGGCAGCTGCTCCACAGGCAGCTGCTCCACAGGCAGCTGCTCCACAGGCAGCTGCTCCACAGGCAGCAGCTCCACAGGCAGCTGCTCCACAGGCAGCTGCTCCACAGACTCCTCTGCTTGTAGACACACAACCAACGCCACGCAACAAACCCTCCCCACAAACCCTTACAAAACTCTATTGCTATAAATCTAATCTAATTTACACTCTGATCTGCAGTATACATACGCTGTAGTCCCCATTTATACATGTTCACCTCACCTACAGCATACGACCACCTCTCGTAACGCTGTAGTCCCCATTTATACATGTTCACCTCACCTACAGCATACGACCACCTCTCGTAGCCAGAAATATCACTAATTAAGCATTTTGATACAAAATTCACTATAAAAAAATATCAAATACCAAAGAGATGATGCTCTTGAAGACTGACTCAAAATGCGTCTTTTCTAGCGCTGAAAACCAGTCTCTAGGAGGGTAAAAAACTCCGAGCTTCTGCTGTCTAAAAATGGCAACACTGTTAAAGAAGATAAACAAAACCTTTTTGTAAAAAAACCCACAAGAATAGACAATACAATTATTTTATACATTTCAAAGGACAGTATTCATTCGTAGCTATAGTGCTCTCGTCTCCATTCTGTCTCTCTGTCTCTGTCTCTGTCTCTCTTCTCCTCTTCTCTCCTCTCTCTCCTCTCTCTCTCTGAGAGCGCAGGTCCTCTCTGCGTCTCAGCCACAAAAGCTCTCGTCTCTCTCTCTGCCTCTCTCTCTCCTCTCAGATCTCCTCTCTCTCTCTCTGGAGGAGCCGAGCAGCGTCTGAGCCACAAAAGGTGGGCCAAGAGCTTGGGTAGGACAGGCGTCAAGACAGCAAGGGACCGGGAACACCCGTCATGAAATATTCCCATCAACACGCTGCTTGGGTCCCATCACTCACACCTCCTGGGAGACGGGGCTCTCTGTCTCATTCAGTCCTGCTGGTCCAGTCAGTCCTGTCAGCCCTCCGTCAGTCCTGTCAGTCCTCCGTCAGTCCTGTCAGTCCTCCGTCAGTCCAGTCAGCCTTCCGTCAGTCCTGTCAGCCCTCCGTCAGTCCTGTCAGCCCTCCGTCAGTCCTGTCAGCCCTCCACCTGTCCTGTCAACCATACATGCCAACTTCAGCTTCGCACTCAACCGTCAACCGGCCCCACTCCATCCTTCACTCCATCCCCCTCCCCCCCCCCTCCCCCTCCCCCCTCCCCCCTGACACCCACCTAAAGACCAACTAACAATCTGCGACCATGCTCTTGCCTCGAGGTAATGTTGTTAGGCAAGTGATTCAACCAATAAAAACGACGTGTAAGTTTGCTTTATTGAGCCACAATTCAGCTCCTTAGCGCCGGGCCTGTAAGTCTAATGCCTTGGGAGTGAGAGAGGGAGGGAGGGACGGGTGGGATGGGAAGGGAAGGGAAGGGTGGGAGAGTGTTGTTGTGGTCCCAGAGTGCTCTGTGAAGCTGTAAAGTGTGGTGGTGGTGGGAGTAAGCACCAGGTGGTGGGGTGTGTAGGGTGGGGGGGGAGTGTGGGGGGAATATTGAAGTATTGGCAGGAACTGTACTGTGTGGGAGGAGACAATGTGGGAGGGGGCAGTGTGGGAGGGGACAGTGTGGGAGGTACTGTACTGTGTGGGAGGGGAACTTTATTGTTATTAAAAAGAGTTTCTTTTCAGATGGGGAATGTGTTTGCATGTTAATGAGAAGCAATATCTTGCTCCAGGGCCACTCCTCCCAGCTGGGCCTCCGTACACATTCAGACGTTCTAGTGTCCTTTCATACACACTCTTGAAGTTATTAAGACGAACATAAGAACATAAGAATGAAGGTAACTGCAGAAGGCCTATTGGCCCATTCGAGGCAGCTCCTATATATTGCCACCCAATCTCATTCATATGTCTAACCTACGCTTGAAACAATCAAGGGATCCTACTTCTGTTAACCGAGGTGGCTTCCACGACTTGTGCTTTAATGTCCTTTGTTAATACGAGTATTCCCTTACGTTTCTCAGGCTCACTTGTGCTTCCAGTTTCTACCTGTGTCGACTCGTTCTGTTTTTACTAATCTGGAAAAAAACTATCTTCCTCCACTTCATCAGCATCTTATATGTTGCGATCATATCACCTCTGGTCTTTGTTTCTTGTGGTGTGGTCAGGATGAAGTCTTTTAATCTGTCCTCATAACTCTTTTTTCTCTATTATCCTTGAAGCAAATTTCTAGATTTACTCTATTTTCGTTTTGTGCTTCATATGGTTGGGATTTTGTGTTGGCGCTGCGTATTCCAAGACTCGTCTGACATAGGTTGTGTATTATCTCCTGAATGTCAGTTTGGAATATGCTGGTATGATCTTCTGGTGTTAACGCTGGAGGTATGTTCACTCCCAAGTGCTTCTCGTCTGTTACATCTGTCATGTCACACGTCACGCCTTCTTGTCACATCTGTCATTCTGGGCATCACGCTCACAAACGTCGTTACTTTACCCCTACCTTTACACCTACTGGGATTGAACCTCTACTGGGATTGAACCTCTACACCTACTGGGTTTGAAGTTTTACACCTACTGGGGTTGAACTCCAGTAACCCTTTCTCTGTCTGAAATTACCCTTGCGTAGTTGTACAATCTTCTTCAGACTATACAGTTTGCATCATCTGCAATAATTGTCACCCGAGATCATATCACCTCGAGCAAGTCATTCACCTATATAATAAGTAGAAGAGGTCCAAAGACCGATCCTGATGGGACCCCTTTTACCACTATCCTTCACTCTTGACAATTTTTTCTCATTATAACTCTGTTTCCAGTCTGTCGGGTACTCTCTTACCTAGTTTCTTCCAGCCTATTTTTCATTGTGTGTATAGAAGGATGGGCTTAATGCCTCTTAATAGACTGCCAGAAATCATTAGATACTGCTATCCACTGGAGATTTTATACACATCTGTGTAGCACGATGGGAGACAATGGCACTGATTGGATGAGAGAATACCTAGCCAACAGGAGTCAGAGAATGATAGCGAGATGTGAGAGGTTAGAATTAAGGGAAGTAACAACTAGATTACCACATGAATAGGTATCTAACACCATTTACTACCGTAAAAACTATAATATATCTGGGTTAAAGTATGCCAGAGCAGTTCGCAGAGAGGAACAATTAAAAATAGCAGAAAAAAAAGACCGATGCCTTGCTACAATTCCAAACCTTCAGTGGCATAAACAAAGACTGAACAAATTACAGATCTGTACACACCTACCTAAAACCTGGATGAACCACATACATATACATGGCAACACTATACATATGTATGTATATACTGTTGCCACGTTGTGTATATATGTATACACCACCCACCCACCGCCGCCCACACCGCCCACACCACCCACCCAAAGATATACGCCCTCAACCCCTCCACACATTATGAATATGAAAATATATAATATTGCATAAAATCAATACACAACCAAATAAACCAAAACTTGCCGTAAAAAACTTAAGACCCCCCCCCCAACCCCCCCCCCCACCCCACCACCGTCAACCTAAGTCGCCAACCCTCTCGCCTCCCAGAACTTGGCTAATAGTTTTTAACAAGATCATGATCAAGTTTGAAGTCTTTGATCGTGGAATACAAACGCTTGGATAGTGATAGTGATGTGGACACCCATGTTGACAGTGATGTAGACAGTGTTGGAGTGATGTTGACAGTGATGTAGACAGTGTTGGAGTGATGTTGACAGTGATGTAGACAGTGTTGGAGTGATGTTGACAGTGATGTAGACAGTGATGTAGTGATGTAGACAGTGATGTAGTGATATAGATAGTGATGTAGAGATGTAGACAGTGATGTAGACAGTGATGTAGTGATGTAGACAGTGATATAGACAGTGATGTAGATAGTGATGTAGTGATGTAGACAGTGATGTAGACAGTGATGTAGATAGTGATGTAGTGATGTAGACAGTGATGTAGACAGTGATGTAGATAGTGATGTAGTGATGTAGACAGTGATGTAGTGATGTAGACAGTGATGTAGACAGTGATGTAGTGATATAGATAGTGATGTAGTGATGTAGACAGTGATGTAGTGATATAGATAGTGATGTAGTGATGTACAGTGATGTAGACAGTAATGTAGTGATGTAGACAGTGATGTAGACAGTGCTGTAGTGATGTAGACAGTGATGCAGACAGTGATACAGTGATGTAGACAGTGATGCAGTGATGTAGACAGTGATGTAGACAGTGATGTAGTGATATAGACAGTGATGTAGACAGTGATGTAGTGATGTAGACAGTGATGTAGACAGTGATGTAGTGATGTAGACAGTGATGTAGTGATGTAGACAGTGATGTAGACAGTGATGTAGACAGTGATGTAGTGATGTAGACAGTGATGTAGACAGTGATGTAGTGATGTAGTGATGTAGACAGTGATGTAGACAGTGATGTAGTGATGTAGACAGTGATGTAGACAGTGATGCAGTGATGTAGACAGTGATGTAGTGATGTAGACAGTGATGTAGACAGTGATGCAGTGATGTAGACAGTGATGTAGTGATGTAGACAGTGATGTAGACAGTGATGTAGTGATGTAGACAGTGATGTAGTGATGTAGACAGTGATGTAGACAGTGATGTAGTGATGTAGACAGTGATGTAGTGATGTAGACAGTGATGTAGACAGTGATGTAGACAGTGATGTAGTGATGTAGACAGTGATGTAGACAGTGATGTAGACAGTGATGTAGACAGTGATGTAGACAGTGATACAGTGATGTAGACAGTGATGCAGTGATGTAGACAGTGATGTAGACAGTGATGTAGTGATGTAGACAGTGATGTAGTGATGTAGACAGTGATGTAGTGATGTAGACAGTGATGTAGTGATGTAGACAGTGATGTAGTGATGTAGACAGTGATACAGTGATGTAGACAGTGATGTAGTGATGTAGACAGTGATGTAGTGATGTAGACAGTGATGTAGACAGTGATGTAGACAGTGATACAGTGATGTAGACAGTGATGTAGTGATGTAGACAGTGATGTAGTGATGTAGACAGTGATGCAGACAGTGATACAGTGATGTAGACAGTGATGCAGACAGTGATGCAGACAGTGATACAGTGATGTCGACGGTCATGTGGACAGTGATGTCGACGGTCATGTGGACAGTAATATAGTGAGTGATGTAGAACTGTTACAGATACAATCACTCTTATAATTCACCCGTCATCAAGTGATAATTATTGATGATCACCTACAACAATCACCTCGACTTTTCTCAGAGTGAAAGGAACTCTGCCCATTTTTGTTTCTCGCCGGCGCTGGGAATCGAACCCGGGCTTCAGGACTACGCGTCCAACGTGCTATCCACTCAGCCACCGGCCCCCTTGTGTGTGTGTAGAGAGAGAGGGAGGACACCGGGTTACTGCCGTATTTAAGAGCCATTTGATGTGTGTTCTGTGACATGTCAACCCGGTACTCACCTGAGCTGTCAGTTTTCGCGACAGGTGAGTGTTGTACCCCAACACTGACCTGTCATCAGGGTTGCAGAGTAACCCTGCAGCAGACATGGGGCTAGATTCACGAAGCAGTTACGCAAGCACTTACGAACCTATACATCTTTTCTCTATCTTTGGCGGCTTTGTTTCCAATTATTTAACAGTTAATGAGCTCCGAAGCACCAGGAGGCTGTTTATAACAATAACAACAGTTGAATTGGAAGTTTTCATGCTTGTAAACTGTTCAATAAATGTAACCAAAGCCTTCAAAGATTGAGGAAAGATGTACACGTTCGTAAGTGCTTGCGTAACTGCTTCGTGAATCTGGCCCCATGAACCTTATAGGACATTACCTGTTGCCAGATACCAGACGAGACAGCACACTCCTTTTGTGCAGTTGGGATGCTCTCGGACGTAGGCTCGAACCCTCATCACAGACCTTGTGGACTTGTTTACCCCTTTACCCTCCACCACCCCATCACACCCCCCCCCCTGCTCTCCCTGAACCCTTCCCCCAGCGGGTAGGAGGCTCCTTGTGCCGGTGAGTCCCCTACAAGTCGGGGCTTTTGATATCTGGCCGCTACGAGCTGCCCCT